GGGATAGATTATGAGGAAACTTTTTCGCCAGTAGCCATGCTTAAATCCATAAGGATTCTCTTATCCATTGCGGCTCATTACGATTATGAGATCTGGAAAATGGATGTCAAGACCGCTTTTCTAAATGGAAGTCTTGATGAGTGCATCTATATGGCACAACCAGTTGGTTTCATAAAAAGTAAAAACGAGCACATGTTGTGTAAATTAAAGAAATCCATTTATGGATTGAAACAAGCTTCTAGGGCATGGAACACTTGTTTTGACGCATCGATTAAGACATTCGATTTTGATCAATGTGAAAATGAGTCTTGTGTCTATAAGAAGTGGAGTGGAGATAAAGTTACATTTTTGGTCTTGTACGTAGATGATATTTTGCTCATAGGAAACAATGTGAGCATGTTGAATTCAGTAAAGGAATGGTTGTCCTCACATTTCGATATGAAAGATTTGGGACAGACATCCCATATCCTTGGGATCAAGCTTATGCGAGATCGCAAGCAAGGATAATAGGCTTGTCCCAAGCACTTTATATTGATACTATTCTCACCAGGTTTAGCATGCAAGATTCCAAGAAAGGGTTTCTCCCCTTTAGACATGGAATCTCTCTGTCAAGAGATCAGTCCCCAAAAACGACTGATGAGATAGAAAAGATGAAGGCGGTCCCTTATGCTTCTGCTGTAGGGAGTCTTATGTATGCAATGCTATGTAATAGACCTGATATTTGCTTTGCCGTTGGCATGGTTAGCAGATTTCAGTCTAACCCTGGTCGAGAACACTGGGCTGCTGTTAAGCATATAATCAAGTACCTGAAAAGGACTAGGGATTATATGTTGGTGTATCACTCAGGTGATCTTGCACCCATTGGCTATACTGATTCAGATTTCCAGTCGGATAGAGACTCTAGAAAATCTACCTCAGGATATGTTTTTACTTTGGGAGGTGGAGCCATAAGTTGGAGGAGCATCAAGCAATCGTGTGTTGCTGATTCCACCATGGAAGCCGAATATGTGGCTGCATCTGAAGCAACCAAAGAGGCTGTTTGGCTCAGGAACTTTCTGAAAGAGCTTAATGTGGTTCCTTCGGTTCAAGCACCAATTGTACTTTATTGTGACAATAGTGGTGCAGTTGCAAACTCGAAGGAACCAAGAAGCCATAAAAGAAGTAAGCATATTGAGCGTAAATATCACTTAATTCGGGACATAACACAAAGAGGTGATGCAAGAGTGTTGAAGATTGCGTCGGAGGATAATTTGGCAGACCCGTTTACAAAGAGCTTGACACATATGATTTTTGACAAGCATGTAGAAGGAATGGGTGTTAAAATATTAGACGCATGGTTATGAGTCTAAGTGGGAGATTGTTGGGATATATTATTAACCATGCGGTTTAGACATAGTATTATATTTTGTTCTTTATGAAATAATTATTTATTTAATTTATTCAATTCAATAAAGCACTATTTTAAATGGATCATTTGTAACATGTGTGTCCTTTTGGTTATGTAGTAAACAATTCAGTGTATGGAGTCTTAGCTCATACACAGAAGATTAAATTGTTGGTTCTCATAATTAATAAACTATGTTCACAATCGAAGATATTATCGGACAAAATATCTTGATGATTGTAGCACAAGATTATTATATAATTTATCTTGATTATGGGAGTAGGTTTACTCCAACTTCTTGTGCTAGTATACTCAGTGTATATTGAACGGACCAAGTAGAGAAAATGTGTTTTTGTACTGAATACATATAAAATATTTTCTCTAATTCATTAAATGAGCTTATACTCCTAATCTTGATATAATTATTATGATCAATGTAATTTGTTTATTGTTTTGATTTATCAAAAGGTACGACTCTATTTCGAGTTAGTATATGCCTAATAAATTGGACAATAACAAATAACATGTATGAATAATAATTAGTTGATAGAATCCATGACTTGGTTTTTGGGTTTGATAATACCCCTTTATATAAGCTTATAAGTTTTCATGTGAAAACCCGGCCGGTGGATTTTGTATCCGTCACATGAGATGGTTTAAGCGGAATTATAAAGGATTTAATTAGTTAATTGAATTAAATTATCAGTGATTTAATTTAATTAACTGGTATTTGAAATCTTAACATGGGGAGTTAAAATAAGTGTTAATGAATTTACGAAATTCATATTGAGGAGTTCAATTGCAGTTTTTTAGTGGAATAAATTGCAATTAATTATAGTAAGAATTAATTCATGCTAATTTAGAATTAATACTATAATTGGTAGCCTCTTATTATTTCTGTGGTCCCTACTATACCTAGTAAAATCCTGGACAGACTTGGGTAAAAAGTAGCTTGGGAGAAAAGTTACCTTTTTGAGTTGGAGTAGGATTCTACTTATAGAATCCTAATCCCACACGATTTTAAGCCTCTTTTAGGGCTTAATTTCGAGTCTATAAAAGGTAGACAAGTTTCTCCTATTCAAACTAACCTAGAGTTGCATTGTTCTTGCCCATCCAAAAGCAAAAGTGTTCAAGGTTTTACTAGGCATATAGCAGAAGACTACAGCCCTGGATTTTTGCTGCTTGGAGAATTTGTGCAACTATTTCAAGAGGTTAGTGTTTCTGATCTCGTTATTATTGCGTTGTCTAGTTTACATGTAATTGATATCTGGTTGTTTGCTTGCTTTCGCTGCGCATGTTCTAACATATATATATATAGAGAGAGAGACAGAGATATAGCCTTGATTTATAGAGGTGACATGCCTCTTCTCTTGCTTCAAGTAATGTATTTATATTTTTTTCCTTATTTGTAAACTCTTTCCCTTGTTTTCTCTATATTTCCTTAATTGGAGGATACTCTTACTCTACCTTATTTCTTGAATTTTATTAAACATTAATGACTTAATTTCATAAGCTACATAACATACTTTGATTTATTTGTTACTCAAAAATAGGTTTCATTAATCTCGTGTGCTTATTCAAAATCATACAAAAAATCACTCGAAATACATGTTCAGCGCACGTGTCTAGGAACTAGTTAAAAGTTAAAATGCATTAGCATAATTGCTGAAGACTCTTTGATAAATAAGCTTTGCATATATGCTATTGATAATTCAGTTAATCTGTAAGGAATTCGACTAATCTATTTTTAGGTGGAGAAGTTGGAGCCCTATCTTATGCAATGATATGAATTTTTTGTTTATTACACTCGTAAACTAGAATAGTAAAAAAAGAACTCTACTCAAAATAAACCTACCCGTATCCTAAGAGCCCCAATTGTAAATTGAATTACGAATAGATTTCATGTCTCTGATGGAATATGGAATATTTCCAGTAAGATTCGATGTTCGAGCATATAGAATACGAAGTTTTCCGATTCATCCGGCTGTGGTAGGCAGTGGACTTGACTTAAAAGATTTTTGAGAGAATGGCCAATCGAGTTAATCCGGTAAGATTGGTTAAGAACACAGGAACTGAACCATTAAGGATATTGTTGGCAATACCGAGCTCTTATAATCTGGGTAACTGGCCTAAACTTGTTGGAATATCAATGGAGAAATTATTTGAAATTAACGTCGAGGGAAGTTAGGTTATCAAATTTGGCTATAAATTAAACTCTGCCGCTTACCAATGAAGTAATTTGAAAAGTATTCAAAAAGTGTAGATTTGAACAGAGAGACCAGGAGTTGGAGGAAATGAAGCCACCAAAACTGTTATCACCGATATTGAGTTTCTGCAAAGTCGAAATGCGATAAAAGTCGGCCGGAAAATGACCGGAGATACCGAAATTGGTGAACTTGGTGAAGATAACTTTATGGGTTTTATGAGTCAGAGTTGCTGCTAGTTTCTTGTTCTTGTCGTTGACTCCACCTCACCTTGTTGACGCGATTTCTTCCATTTTGATTGCGGCAGAGATATTGAGTGGGAAAGTTTGATATCATGCTTGTATTGTGGTGAATTAAAGTGGCCAAAATTATGATATAAAAAATTGTAACAATCCTTGAAAACTCATTTCGACACATGACCATGATTTTTTGTGTTGTTAAAAAATTGATCCAAACTTCTATTTTTTATTTCTACTGTGGATGATGTCGTGAGCTTTATTATCACCCTTTGTAAGAAAATAATGAAGCAATCATTGCCGGAAAAAATAGTGGAGTCGTCGGCTGAGAGGGTGTTTGGATTGGCTTATAAAAAGTAGTTTTTAAGCTAAAAGCCATAAGTTGGTAATACCCAACTTTTGGCTTTTGCCTTATTTTTGTACTTTTTATGCCTAAAAGTAAGTGCTTTTAAGCACTTTTTATCATTGCCAAACACCACACAAACTACAAAAGTGCTTAAAAGCCAATAAACACTTAAAATAAGCCAATCCAAACACCCTCTAACTCGGACGAGTAGAAGAAAGTTATGTTGGGAATATTTTGGAGAAAATTACAAGCGGGGTCAATTTTTGGGTTACGGGTCTGACCAGTTAATTTGGGGTGGGTTTAAGTTAGGCTAATAACAACATGACATGTAATAATTAATTATAGATATATATTTTAAAAAAAGAAAGGGCCGTTAGTCATAAGGGTAGTTTTGAGCTGAAAAGAAAACGGTAGGAGCAAATTTTGCAAAATAGGTGAACGGAGGCTATTATTGTACAAATTCAATAGTTCAGGGTAGATTTGACCCTTTTTCGTTTATTTAAATGGGGTTTAAGCTTAAAGAATGACATGTAAATAGCCTATTTGTGCAAGTGCTTAATGGGCTATCTCAGCCCAAAACCCATTCCCCTCAACCCCCACCCCCACCCCCACCCCCACCCCCATCCCGATGGTCTCCCGCTCAATGGTCACCAATTTGAGTCTTTCCGCCTTAATTTCAAACCCGAAAAACAAAACAAAAAACAAAGAATATACGCCACGCTGGCGATCCTCGTCACACTTTCTATACTGCATCGAAACCGTCAAAATCGTATAATCGGACGGCAATAATCACTTCTTTTACAACCACGCGGATCGAAGCCAACCCCATCACAATTAATCACCAGCTATAAATCAACCCCATTTGCCCCGTCTTCTCATCGTCCTCATCATTATCTCTCGCACAGTCTTTCAGCTTCAGGAACTTCAATTTTCAGGTTCACTTCTACCTAATTTAATTACCCATTTCAATGATTAATTTGACTCTTTTATTATATTTCTTCTCAATCAATAGCTGAAACACGTCTCTGCTTTCAGCATTTTTGCAAACCTAGGGTTTTGATTACGTTTATATGGTCGATTATGTTACTAAATTGTTTATTTTTGTTATTTTGAATCAGAGAAACTAAAGGTTGATTGAAAATGTCTGGACGTGGAAAGGGAGGAAAAGGATTAGGAAAGGGAGGAGCAAAACGACACCGTAAAGTCCTTCGTGATAACATCCAAGGTATCACAAAGCCAGCAATTAGGCGTTTGGCTCGTAGAGGAGGAGTGAAGCGTATCAGTGGACTCATCTATGAGGAGACACGTGGCGTGCTCAAGATCTTTTTGGAGAATGTGATTCGTGATGCTGTAACTTACACTGAGCACGCTAGGAGAAAGACCGTGACTGCTATGGATGTTGTGTACGCGCTCAAGAGACAAGGAAGGACTTTGTATGGGTTTGGAGGTTAATGGGAAACATTGATTTTTGACTTTTGTTTTGTCTGCAAAAGTCTTTCTGTCAAGAAAAGAACTAGAATGGTTACTATATGGTATATTGGGTTTGTTTTGCTTTTGATTAGGGATCTGCTTTGGTGTAATTAGTTTGGTTACAACGGTGATAGGCTTCTTTGGCAGTAGTATTGGTCGTTATTGTAAGCTGAATTTGGTGGATACTTGTTTCAGTACTTCTGAAATTTGTTTTATTGCAATGAATATTGGTAACTGGTTCAGTTTCACCATTCCCTTTCACTAGTGACTCTGCATTTGTTATTTGTTTGATTTTCTGATTGTTCTTTTGGATAAATAGGAATGGTGAATTTTAGATTGCATTAATTTCCCACCTGGATTGCTAGTACTCTTATGAAAGAGGCAGTAATGTGGTGCATTTCTATATTTTAGAACAGCTAACTTAGGTTGTTCTGTTATTCCCGTACCTGGGCGTCTGTAGAATCTCAATTGCAGAAGTAAAATAGTGTTAACTGTTACGTTCTTCTGTCACCAATAATTGGCAGTTACCAGCATAACTAGCTCTTGTTCCAGTGCAATGCCCAGCCATTCTTGTTTTCTTTTTGCATATTCTATATCTACTTGAGGAAGTGATGGTTCATTTGCGGGAGGAATTCAAAGATAGCTTTTTAGTAAGTGTTAGTGTTCCAATAACCAATAAAAGGACTAGTTCATTAGTTCATAATTTATAACTAACTCGAATATTTTTTATTTTTTGACTCAATTTCAGAAAAAATAAAAGAATAAATAAAAAGAGGGGCGAAGTGCTACAAAAAGAACTTTGTTCGATTTTTTAGTCTATCTATAAGAGGAGATCATATGAAAAACGTAATTGATTCTTTCGTTTCTTTGGGCCGCTAGCCATCTGCCGGGAGTTTCGGGTTTAATATCCCGATATTTTAGCAACAAATTCAATAAATCTAAGTGTAGTGCTTGGTGTATTGATTTTTTTTGGAAAGGGAGTGTGTACGAGTTGTTTATTTCAAGAATAGGCTCGACCACCCCGCTGTACCCTTTTCTGTTTTAACTAGGAAAGAGAGGTGCATGATCTCGCGAATTACTTCTGAATAAATTCTGAAATTATATGTAAGAACCATAGCATTTCGCAATTTAATTGGTAAATCGATTTTGATTCTCTATTAACCAATAATGTGGAACTATTAACATGGTTAAAACAAACTGTTTGAAGTCTAGACGCAGCATGGTACTATTTCTTGTGGTCATTCAAAAATAGCCACAATTTTAAAAGTAATCGAAATTTAGCCACTTTTTATGTAAAGATAGATCTAAACGAAAACATTGTTCAAAATCTGGAAAAGTAGTTCAGTATAATATACTGGAATTCTAGTATACTTATGTTGGAACTCCAGTATAACTCCAGCACCGTTGCTCAAATCTCTAGTATATTATACTGGATTTTTGCGTGTTGTAGTTCCAGCATAATATGCTATAAATTCATATATAGGTGCACCAATCTCCAGTATATTATGCTGGAACTTTACGTGTTGCAGCAAAATAATAGCTATTTTTCAATGACTTTGCATGCACTGACTATTTTTGAATAACTAGTCCGAAAACTAACTAGCCCATTCTATTTTTACTTCATTTGTTTACAAAAGCCACCATAATACTTCTAATTATGACCACCAGTTACCCATTAGTTATATAGAAATAAATAGGTAGCAAACTTAGGAATTGTGTTACCATATATTTGTATACTCTTAATTATTGGTATTGATTGCCAATACTACAAGTCTATTACCACTAGTTGATTATCATAGCGTCAATTTGGTTAAGTGCGAGCCACGGCCCACGAGGAATAATGTTTGCCGCTAAGAGAAATGTGTATACGGTCAAAAGGAGTTGCATCGGGTAACCTCGTAATGAATCAGACCCGAGCTCGAAGACGAGGCATCGAGTCCAAAGATCGAATTGTTCGTCGAGACCGAGGCTAGCATCAATCGAGACTATATATGACTGACTTCAAGTGAAATGCAATAACGGAAAGGCGAAATATCCGTAACTGGTCGGAGATCACGGCGGAAATCTCGGAGCAGATCAAATCAAGGGCGATTATTTGTATCAATCATGGAATTTACTTCCGTAATTAGAATTGTACCACAATTAGGATTCCTCTAGTATATAAAAAGGGGTCCCTATCATTTGTAGACACCTTACATTCATATTGATAAAAGCAATATAATATTTCTCCATTGTTCATCAATTTATTATTCTTTAACAGTTTTTGCTTTACTACTCTTGAGGGTTCATCAGCTCGAGGACACTATCCAAACATCGGTTTGTTTTATATTCTTGTCAATTCCATCACTTATCTCTAAATTAATCAATTGGTATTAAGTGAAATCACGTATCCTTAAAACCACATTACAAATTTAATTATTACTCGATTTTTTGGGGTAAACAGTTTGGCGCCCACCGTGAGGCTAACGATAATAGTAATTGCTTAATATTTTAACATTCATAACACACACTACTTTTACGCTTGTTCTTGTGAGTATTTTTGATTTCACGAATCAAAATGTCAAACTCTCAAGCAGTATCCACTCACAATGACACCGGCCTTGGGCTTCATGGCGAAAACGAGCACGTAGTCGCTCCGGGAAACAGAGTATCTCCAATCAATCCCGACGCACCACATGTCGTGGATCCGGTTGATGTCAATTCTCATTTCGCCATTCGTGGAGATTTAGGCGTTGGCCCTGAAAATAGTGTCCACAGAGACGTCCGAGCAGCCGATCGGAATACACAAAATGGTGAAGAAGGCAGAATCAGCCTTCGAATGATATTTGACATGCTACAAACTCAGCAGACCGCGATAGCGCAACTCCAAAATCAGAATCGAGCCCCAAGTAGAATCGAACTCGATACATCACAAGAAGTTGCTCATAGGGTCGAACCTGTGTAGGAAAAATTGAACGATAATGGATCGGGAACTGATCCCGCCATCATGAAAATGCTCGAGGAGCTCACTAACGGATAGAATTAGGTGAAAAGAAAATTGAGTCTAATGAAAACAAAGATAGAAACGTACAACTCACGAGTTGACCAAATACCCGGGGCACCCCCGATCCTAAAGGGTTTGGATTCGAAGAAGTTCGTGCAGAAGCCTTTTCCACAAAGTGCGGCTCCGAAGCCCATTCCTAAGAAGTTCCGAATGCTAGACATCCCCAAGTACAACGGGATCACCGATCCCAATGAACACATCACTTCGTACACATGCGGAATAAAGGGAAATAACTTAGAAGATGATGAGATTGAATCCGTTTTGTTCAAAAAATTTGGAGAAACTTTATCAAAGGGGGAAATGATATGGTACCACAATTTGCCGCCCAATTCCATCGATTCTTTCGCCATGCTCGCTGATTCGTTCGTAAAGGCGCATGCCGGAGCAATAAAGGTCGCGACCATGAAGTCGGACCTCTTCAAAGTGAGACAGAAGGACAATGAAATGCTAAGGGAGTTCGTATCTCGATTTCAGATGGAACGCATGGACCTACCCTCGATTACGGATGATTGGGCTGTCCAAGCCTTTACTCAGGCTTTGAACGAGCGAAGTTCGATAGCGTCACGTCAACTAAAGCAAAATTTGATTGAATATCCAGCGGTGACCTGGGCCGACGTGCATAATCGGTACCAATCGAAGATCAGGGTCGAGGATGATCAATTTGGAGCTCCATCCGGTTTCGTTTTCCCAAACAGGTCCGAATGCAGGATTCAAAGTAACATCGACAAAGAACCCCAATCGAACAAAGATCGATACCAACCATATAGCGCAGATCGAAGGAACAACGGACCGGGACAAAATCCCATTTGAAATGATCAAAGGAATGATCGAGGTTAAAATTCTCGAGGGCTCATGAGTAAGAATGACTTCGATAAACACGTTGAGCCTAAGGAAGCACCATGGTTATCGGAATACAACTTCAGCATCGATGCTTCAGGTATTGTGTCAACCGTTAGACGAATCAAGGATACTAGATGGACCAGACCCATGCAAATCGATCCAGCTCAAAGGAATCCGAATCAAATGTGCAAGAACCATGGAACCCATGGTCACAGAACCAAGGACTGCAGACAATTAAGGGATGAGGTAGCTCGTTTATTCAACGAAGGTCATCTTCGAGAGTTCTTGAGTGACCGAGCAGAAAATCACTTCAGAGAGGGGGATGCAAACAGGAAAAATGAATAGGAGGAACCTCAGCACGTGATTCATATGATCGTTGGTGGGGTCGATATTCCTCAGGGTCCGACATTTAAACACACCAAAGTCACAATCACAAGGGAGAAGCGTACCCAGGACTACTTACTAGAAAATACCTTATCCTTCAACGATGAGGATGCAGAAGGGATCGAACAACCTCACAACGATGAACTGATAATATCTATCCTTATGGATAAAATTCAAGTTAAACGTGTGGTCGTTGATCCAGGTAGCTCGGCGAACATTATCCGATCGAGGGCCATGGAGCAACTCGGCCTTCAGGATTAGATCGTGCCTGCAGCTCGAGTGCTCAACGGTTTCAATATGGCGAGCGAAACCACCAAAGGGAAAATCATGTTGCCAGTGAACGTGGCCGGAACTATCCAAGAATCAAAGTTTCACGTGATCGAAGGAGATATGAGGTACAATGCACTGCTCGGAAGACCTTGGATCGATAATATGAGGGCAATACCTTCAACGCTTCATCAAGTCTTGAAATTCCCAACACCGAAAGGAGTCAAAATGGTGTACGACGAACAACCAACAGCCAGAGAGATGTTTGCTATCGATGAGGTGATACCAGTGTCAACTCTCACATCAACAAAGGGACCAGAATCAAAGGAAAAGTAGAAGGTCAAGTAGCAACCATAGTCGCCGGCTTCGACCAGATTGGAACAACAGGAAATGATCGAGGACGATGATTGCATGATACCTCGAACCTTCGTAGTCCCTGATGACTCCGATGCCACAAAGTCAACGGTCGAAGAGCGGGAACAAGTCATACTAATCGAGCACCTGCCCGATCGAAAGGTATACCTGGGCACGGGGTTAACTCCCGAGCTCAGGGAAAAACTCGTTAAATTCCTTATTGAAAATATGGATTATTTTGCTTGGTCCCACCTTGACATGATAGGGATCCCACCGGAGATCACCACTTATCAATTGAGTTTGGACCCGAAGTTCAGAGTGGTAAAGCAAAAGAGAAGGCCACAGTCCGAGAAAAAGCATGCATTCATCAAGG